GCCCCATTCCTTACCCTGCCACAGCACATCTTGCTTACTCCTTTGTGATGCTAGCTCGCCATTCTATGTATTTGTTTGTGTGTTTGCTGTTTCCCTAGGGCTCACTGAGGCTGGGCTGTGCTCAGGGTTCATGTATTCTGCCCCGTGCTCCTGGGGCCTCTTGGATGAGGCTGTGGTCAGGCCCAGTACCCTGGCTTCTGTTGAGTTTGTCCCTGGTGGCTTCTCCCCAGCTGCTGCCTAGGACCCAGAGTAAATCCTCTTTAGAGGCTTTAGAGGCTGGGGACAGAGAAGCTCACACAGCCCTCATGCTGGCTGGGCCGATGGCTGCTCAGCTGCTGTCCTGGGTGACTCTGAGGCTGGGCCCTGTCTGAGGGTCAGAACTGGCTGACTAGACCCCAGCTCCCATGAGTCCTGGCAGGTTTAGCCGTAGGCCAGAGATAGCTCACTTGGCCCTGCTGTGCCCACCTCAGAGTAGTTGGGGTATCTGATGAGGGGAGTGATAGCCTCTAGTTCCCAAAGGCCCCGTTTCCTTGTGCCCCCAGCTCTGTGCCAGTGCAGCTCCTCTGCCTGGAGTGACTTTGGCGACTTCAGTCCATGTGTTCCTGATTCCTCCTGCTAGGCGGGACTCTCACACTACTGTGCTGCCTATGTCCAGGATACAGCTGCATTTCAGAGTGGGTACATACCCAAAAGCTCATGTGACAGGAGAGAGGCTAGGAAAGAAGAGGTGATGCCCAGTGTGGAATGAGGCAGAGGAGGGAGGCTCTGGGTGGGAAGGACTTGAGGCTTGTGACAGGCAGTGGTGGCCAGTAGGGAAAGCAGGTGCTGTCCTCACACAGCCATGTGCAACAGCAGGTCTCTTCACCTCTGCAGATAGGAACTCAGCTTTTAGGGCTTCTTGGACCTACCCTCCCCATGAGGACACATCCATATGACTGCTGCCTCTCCTCAGCCACTTCTGGTGTCTTCTGTGCCTCTTTCTCTAGCCTTCCTTCCTAGAGCCTGTTCCTCCAGAAGTTCCTCTGGGAGACAGTGTGGCTCTGTGATCAGAAGCGTGGTTCGCTAAGATTCCACTTCCAGCTCTGCCACTTTGGAAACCAGGGGTGCCCTCCATCTGGTTTCCTCATGTGTGACATGGGGTTGGCTAAAGTACCTGCTTCAGGAAGGTAGGGTATATGAGCTTTGCAAAAAGTCCTGGGCTCACAGGGAGATCTAAGCAGCATTAGCTAACACGACACCCACCCATACCTGCCCTGCAGATGCCTCTTCTAGAACACCAATGCCCTCACAAGGGACTGCAGATAAAATGCCACACGGGAGATCCCATGTGTGAGGGCCTGGACTGGTGACACACCGTGCACACTGTGGAGAGACAGAGGCAACGCGGCAATGTCTACCACAATGGAAAGGCACCTTCTCTTTGGCTTAGCAATTTTACCCGGGAATTTAAACTTGCATGTGTGAAATGACGTTCTGTGCAAGGATGTTCACTGCAGCGTTGTCAAAGCCAAAGATCAGAAACAAGCAAAATGACCATCAGCGTAACCAAATAGCCATACAGCGTGGCTATTAAAGAAGAGGGGGTAACTGTGTGTGCGCGGTAGACGTGCAGTGAAAAGCAAGGAGCTGAATGAGAACAGGCAACACCCACCCTTTTGGATTAAATTATTTCTTTCAGTCAAAAACATGGAGCCTGGGCTAATGAGCAGTGGCTGTTTCTGGGGAGGGGCTGGTGGCCAGGAGACTTGCACATTGTGCCTGTGTACCTTCAGAAGTTTAAACCAAGGTCATATGTTAATCAAGAAAAAGGTGACTGGAGGAACCTTGCCATTTTTTTTTTTTCCTGCACTGATAACAAAGGCCCACCACTGTGATACCAACCACTTCCCAGATGCACCAACGCACACACTAGATTGAAAAATGCGGGTCTGCCTTTACCTCTGCTGCTGGGAAAGAAAATCTCATCACAAAGTCTTGCCTTTAGGAAAGTGAGTCTTGTCTCCCCGTTGACACTAAATTGACACTCGTGGTAATGGCAGAAGATGCCACCTGGGCATTGGTGAGACTGTGGGGTGACTGAAGGATGCCTTCCAGCTTCCCTGGCAACAGAGTGCGTTGAGATAAAGAAGGAATGCAGCTGTATGCAAATCTCTCTCCATTAGACGTGGCCCATCTTGCCACGGCTGAATGGCGGCGTGTGGACCACTGCAAACAGAACAGCAAGCTGTGAAGGAGGCAGGAAATGAGCTCTCATTGCTTTTGTGAGGAGACTCTGGCTAGCATTGCTTAAAAGGATGGGAAAAGGAACGCTGCCCCTCTGGGGTGCTCTGCTGTGGTTCCACTTGGCTGTGGACACAGGGTGGATGTGAAGGGGAGAGCTTTGAGCCCCAGGAGTGGGCAGACACAGGAGTGGAGCTCAGACCCCAGGGCAGGGGTGGCCTTCTCTGGCACCCAAGGAGTCCTGGGTGGGGGAAGAGGAAGTGCTGCTCCAGGAAGTCAACTGCATCTAGGTTGGCCATGAGCAGACACAGGAGCTGGGACCAAAGTCCAGGACCCAGTGCTTGTGGCAACACTGGTCTTCTTAGCCTTGTGGGGTGGGTGTTGAACTGAGAGCAAAGCATGGGCTTCTGCCTCAGTCCCTGGGCCTGTGCATCTTGGATTATTCCTCACGTCCCTCCTGCCTGAAGACCCAGTGAAGAGGGACTATTTCTCACTTGGGAAATGTAGGCTGAGTTCAAACTTGCTTTTAGGTCCTTTTTGGGCAAACAGGATCTCAGGGGGCACCCCAACATATACAGCAAACAGGTCAGGCAGAGACTGATAGGGTGAACAGCCTGGGGAGTGCAAAGTCTGTCCCGCTGTGCTGGTTTCTGATGCACTTATAAGTGAAGCCTGGGCTTCTGTGGGGAGACTGTAAAATGCTGCACAGAACTCTGGGAGTTCAGTAGGGTGGCAAGAGCTGCTTCCAGGAACAGGGAGGCCTGGGGTCAAGGGATGGGGTGACTACTCACTGCAGACATTTTTAATTAAATTCTGAACCATGTGCAAGTTACCTGGCTAAAAACCAATAAAATTTAAAAATACAGGTGAAAGAGTAACAATTTCTAAGGTACCAACTTTATCTGGAAGAGTCCGAGATTCTGTAGGTCACACGTGGACTTGCTCCGCTCTACAGATTCATTAAGCCACTCATCGACAGAGGGGCAGATCGAAGCACAGTGTCAGCTAGTGATCTGGAACTGTCTTTTCAATAGAGAGACAGGTGGAGAGGTGAGCGCAGGCCACAGAATTGCAGACCTTGCTTTGAATGTGGGTCTTGCTGCTGACTGCCTGCTGAAACTTCAGTGTTGGCTTCCTGCAATTGGGGATGGCCATGCCAGCAGGGCTGTTGTGAAACTAGAAAGATGGATGTATACCAGGGAGCATGAAGCAGGTAAGGTGTGTGTGGCTATGATGGCCATGAAAAAGTGGGGTGAAAATTAAGTCCAACCAGGCACTGGTGGCTCAAGCCTATAATCCTAGCTACTCGGGAGGCAGAGATCAGGAGGATTGTAGTTTGAAGCCAGGCTAGGCAAATAGTTCAAGAGATCCTATCTCAAAAATACCAAACACAGAAAAAGGCTGTTGGAATGGCTCAAGTGGTAGAGCGCTTGCCTAGCAAGTGTGAGGCCCTGAGTTCAAACTCCAGTGCACCGCCACTGGGATGCTCTGCTGGGGTGCTCTCTTCACTTGTGGCAGTGCACCGTCAGTCTTCTAACAGAATTCCTGAAGTTGGGGATGAAGCAGGTGTTCATCTTACTCAGTGCTTACTTGGTGGTTGCCTGTGAGGCAAACACTTCTCCTCGCATGCCAGATGGTAGTGGCTGCTTGGAGCTAGGTGTCTTGGGGTTCTGGGAGCAGTGAGGGCTGCTACTGAGTGGTAATGTAGGCCACAGGCCCAGCACTCAGGAGTGATGACCCTTGCAGATCTTTACTGAGCTGGGTTCAACTCTCCCCTGTAATGAACTGCTGTGCCTCCACATTGCAGCTCTGGCTCTTTCTTGCTGTGGGGACACTTCTGAGGCCGGACTGAAACCATGTTAAGTCAATGTTGACTTGTGCAGTGGGGGCTGGCTTTTTCACTTGCTGGGCCAGGGCTGAGGCTGCACTTCCAGAGCTCCTTCCCAAATCTTTGTCATGTGCTGTCATCCCCATGAAGGGCCCATTTCGGGGATGCAGATTCTCAGAGGCCAAAGTTACGCACCAACCATGCCCGTGGGGACTGGCACCTGAGGCCTGTCCACCTACAGCTGCAGTTTACCCAGTTCTCGGAATCCCCTGGGAGCTTCAACTACCACATGGGACTCAGGTCACTGTTCTGGGGTGGCACCTGACACCGGTGCAGAAGCCCTCCATATACTATGCTTTTTCCTATATAAACACATCTATAGTGAAGTCTAATTCATAAATTAAACACAGTAATTAGTAACTAACAAAAAATAGGACAATTATAACAAATCTTTAATACAGTAAAGGTCACATGACTGTGGCCTCTCTCTCTCTCTCTCTCTCAAAATGTCTTCTTGGACTAACATGCTTCTGGTGAAGATGCGAAATGACCCATGCCTATGTGACGAGATGAAGTGAGGCGAATGACTAGGCACTGTGGCATAGCATTGGGCTAGACTGACCCTCTCACATCAGAAATGCAGCAAGTGAAACTGGGAGGGGACACTGTATCTGTAACTTTACCCGTCCCACCCGCAGTGGGCGTGAGGCTGGGGTTTGGAACACTATGCTGAGGGCTCAGAGGAAGCCGCAGCTTGAGGCCGGGTACCTCACTGTCACACATCCAGCCTCTCAGTGTTGGGGTCAGAAGCCTGAGGGTCCACAGTCCACACCCTCCCCATTTCCCAGGAGACAGAGGGAGGCAACACTAGCTCCTGAGACGTGCCTTGGGACAGGTGCTGTACAGGTGCGGGGATGGGGCACGGGGAAAGCTTCACTAGAAGAATGCCAGCCCAGGGATACAAAACTAGTTTTAATCTGTTGAAAGTCACACAGCTGTGTAAAAGTGGTTTGTGGGAGGGAGCAGAGGGTCCTCAATGCTCAGCTGAAGGCTCTAGAAGTTCTCCAGCAAGCCCAGGATGCGCTTCTGTTCTGTCTCCCGAAACTCGGGGCTCCGGCCATCCCCGATGTTCTCTGCATATTCTAGGGGAAAAGGATAAGGTTAGGCTGGATCTGAGGCACATGATCCACCAAAGCTGGGTCACTCCTCACTGTTCTGGATCACTGGACCCCAGTGAGGCGCCTGTGGTGGCCAGACTCCTGGGCTTGCATTCGAGGACCCCAGTGGAAGGGCCTCACTTACCTTTCTGCACTTAGGCTCCTCTCCCTGCACACCCTCTCCTCATCCATCATTTATTCACTCAGCATGAACCCAGCAGATGCTGCTGTGCTCAGATGATTCTGTCCCTCCAAAATTCACACTGAGTTACTTTTCAGTGCAGCAGTGTTAAGAGGTGGAGTCTCCAGCAGGTGGTCGGGCTCTGCCTCCAGGGATGGTATTAAACCCTTCCTTATAAAAGGGCCAGGGCAGCAAGCTAGTAAGGACTTTTTGTTTCTCCAACAGGTGAGGGTGCAGCATTTTTGGCCTTCTGACCTCACCAGACACCAAAAATTAGCACTTTGATCTTGGAGTTCCTGGGTTCCAGAACTGTGGGGAAATATATTTTTGTTCTTTATGAATTACAGAGCCTCGGGTATTTTGCTAAGTCGCACAAGGGGGTTGAGACAAGCACTGTTCTCAGCATCCTGTGGGAATTTATTAGAAATGTAAATTCCTGGGCCACCCCAATCCCTCTGAATAGGAACCCACCAGTTGGGGTCAGCAACCTGGTGATGCTGATGCACTCAGGTGAGCATCACTACCTGCAGTAATGAGAATAAAGTAATGACCATAAGAGATCCGTATCAGCTGGGTGTAGCAATGCATGCATCCCAGGTTGGCCTGGTCAACTTACTGAGACTCTGTCTCAAAATAAAATAAATTTTTAAAAAGAGCTGGAGACAGCTCAGTGGTAGAACATTTGCCTGGCATGTGTGAGGTCCTGTGTTCAATCTCTGGCACTGGAAAAAAAAAGTAAGATGGAGCTCTCTGCTCGGGCAGAGCCTACCCTACTTTTCTTTCTTTTTTTGGGGGGGTGGGGCGGGGTACTGGAGCTTTGCACTTGCTAGGGAGGGCAATAAACCAATACATATAAACTCCGTGAGGCTGTCTGGGGGAGGGGCAGCAGGGCAGCGAGCTAGGGGCTCCACACACCAGGAGGAGCAGCAAGAAGGTATGGACACTGTCAAGGAGTTCCGAGTGGCTATCCAGGTTTGGATTACCTACTGTTCCAGTATAATAATCAGCAATACTCCATTTCATTTTCAAAAGTGACCCCCTCCAAATAATGTGGTGCCTGACTTTAGGAGATGGGGGTGAGCAGGTGGCCAGGTAGAAAGAACATGGTAGAAAGGAGTGGGAATAGGGCGTCTGGCTCCCCATGTCTCTGACATCCATGGCTGCACCCACAGAGGGGAGAAGGCACAAAACAGTAGGCTGTGTTTGGACCCTGTCTCTGCCTCACAATCCTAAGTGACCTTGGGTGTCTGTTCTGAAAATGAGCGTCAAGTTTCTGGTAAATAACAGATGTTTGAGAAACATTACTTTCTTCCCCAAGCCTCCTTTGTTCAGGCTGGCGATGTCATTCAGGGAAATCCCATCCGTCTTTCAAGGTCATCTCAAGAGACATCTCTATGCAAACTGCCTGGTCATCGCTTTCCTCCTCTGCTCTGGTGCTCAGGCTTCTCAGTTTCTACCTCCTGTAGACTACCTTCTGCTGTCCTTCTCCCTAGATTGGGACCCTCACCTGGCTAAGTTTCTAGCAGAGCCTGGCTTGGGGGCCACCTGGCAGTGTGGCCAGAGAATAAGTTCTCTGCTTTCACTTATACTCCCTGGACCCTGGCCAGGCCTGGCTTGGGACAGAACAATGGAGTGAACTCATGAGGCTTCTGCATAAGAAAACATCTGCTAATCCAGATCCACGTTAGACTAGGGAGAGAGGAAGAAGTGAGCACTCCCTCCCTATGCTGAGAAATGATTTTCCTCCAGCTACTTCTTCCATCTCCTCCTTCCTGTTTATTACTTTGGACATGTGCTGGAAAATGGGATTTGGGATTCAGATATGTGCCAGCTGTGTGCTCCCCACAGAAATTCTCCTCCTCTGAGAGGCCCATCTATCACTTCCAACAGCAGCTGACTGAGATGCCTCCCATTATGGCCCTGAGAGCCTGGTGGATACCTCCGTCTTCCCCTCACAGGTGAGCAATGCCATCACTGCCCAAGGGACAAAGAGTGATCATCAGAGCAGTTAATACCCCAGAGGCAAGGTCTGCAGGCAGAAGCCTTAATAGATTAAACTAACACCCTGCTCTTCCAGTGTCTCCTCAGACTCAGGATGGACAATGCAGAGAAGAGCCGAATCCTTTGGGGCAGTGATTTTCCAACAGTGAAGCCAGCTTCCTTGGAGGGACCTGATTTCAGATGCACAAAGCAGAGGAAACCAGAGCCTGTCAGCCCCTTTCTGAACCCCTCTGCTACAGCTAAGAACAAGGCCTGCTGCCCTCTCACTGGTCTCTCAAGCCGAGGGAAGGAGGGGACAGGGCCACTGAAGGGGTGTTACCTTTACCGTGAGCCAGGCATTATAGACATTGTGTCGGTTCATCTCTGCAGCCATGGACAAGTTTTGAGGCTATTAGAGAACTGAGGCAACTTCCAAGTCTAGGCTGGGAGAGGAGTTGGAACTTAAACCTTAGAACCTGTGTCAGCAATGAAAAAAGGCACTGCGCCTTGTATGCACATATGAATAATAAAAGAAAAAGAAAAAAAAAAAGGCACTGGGGGTAGGACTGGTCCCCAAAGTGGCATCCTCTTACCTAAGCAATATCCTACCCTTTTGCTCCCCAGCCTCTCGGAAACTAAGGCTACGGTAGTACCTTATGAAAGGCAAGCCTTAGAGGGACGGTCTCATGGTGAAGGGCCTCCGTGGCCAGGGTAGATATCAGGTGGGTCCTGGAACCTCACTTTTTTAGCCAGGTTACAGAGCTGGCAGTGTTCTCAGAAAGGGACTGTAACCTCAAGAGGCAGGTGACTGGCCAGGGTCCTATAGCCAGACAGCCACGGAGCCAGATCCAGAGCAGGTGTGGTGACCCAGCCTCCTGCAGCCCACACCCACAACACAGCTTGCTCCTGGCCCTTAGTCTTGTCCCCTATCCTTTGTTTTAGAGGAGAGTCTTGGTTAGAGCAGTCTTGGTGGTCTTGGACACCTCTGGTTATTATAGCTGCTGTGGCACTTGATAAATATTGAACAGATTTGTCCCAGAGGTCTTAGGGGAGAGTTTTCTCTGCTCTGTGTGTGTGTGTGTGTGAACGAGGGAGAGAAAGGAAGATGCTAGCTGGAGACCTAGGTGGAGGAGAGAGTGAATGAGGGACCAGCAGGGAGGGGGAGGGGAAGAGGAAGAAGTGGCTGGAGAGAGAATGATGGCAGGCACATCAACTCCCTTCCTTACTTCCCGAGCAGTTTCAAATGCTCTTAGAATAAAGGCTTTGATGGAGCTCAAAACCAGGCAGCAGTGCTGAACGCATAAATATTAAAGCAAACTTTAGACAGCAGGTTTACTATTCAGACATGGAATACAAGCTGTTCTGTTTATGTTAAGGGGGTGAGTGAGGTGACAAAGGAGGCTGGCAATGGGGAGAGCTGTGTTCCAGGGCAGGAACTTGGACCAGTGCTCACATTCGGGTCAGAGCCCTGTTACCCAAAGGCCTTAAATACTCACCCTTAAGAAAAATACAGAAGGAAGAGGGAGAGAAGGGAAAAGGAAGGCCAGTGCTTGTACACTGAAAACCCAGGAAGACACATAAATAACCACAAAATAGAGACTGGAAAGGCAGATCCTTGGGCCCTACAGAGATTCCCTACTGACAACAATGAACTTGGAAGCTTAAAGGAGAACACTCTGCTGGGCTGGGGGGAGTAATTTCATCAGGGATGTCTAAGCGAACATACCTGAAGAAGGAATTGCTCACACTGCTAACAGGTTATGTGATCACAGTCTTGCTGACATTTCAGCTAGTTGGTAAGGTACCTGCTGAGCTCCAAGACCCCACAAGGCCCAAGGAGTGGCCCACAGCTTTCCTGCTGGTACTGAGTCCAGGCTGCTGCAGGCCAAGGAAAGACTCTCCAGTACCGAGCCAGTCTCACTCCTGTCTTGCTCCCAGGCACCCGAGTGCACTTCAACCTGAGTGGTCAACCCAAGACTGGTGGTATTTATTTTAGGTTTGCTTCTTTGCAGAGAAGAAAACCAAGATGCAAACATATTATGTATTAGCCTGTCCTTAGTTACAAAGACATGCAGACACTGGTGGTGTTCTGTGCATCCCTGCTCTACTGACTACTGATGGGTTAGCTCAGGAACGAGTTTCAACAGTCTACAGATAACATTCATCCAGCACTTACTAGGTGCCAGCCAATGTGTAAACCCTTTACAAATGACAGTTCATCTCATTCTCCCAGCAGCCTTTTGAGGCAAGCTCCTCATCCTATGAATAACAGATTGTGGCTCAGAGAGGGCAAGTGGCTGCCTGAGGTCAGATGGCCAGGAAGAGACAGGGCTTGGATGGGAGCCCAAGCGCCTCATGGTAGACTCCACAGTCTTACCATGGTTGGTTCTAACAGGGTGGTTCTTCTCCCTACCCGCTCAGTGTCCAAGGCAGAGCATTCTGAGACTATTCTTGGGCGAACTTGGGTGTGGGGCTCCGGGAACAGTAATCCAGTGGCCATCTACATCTTTGCTGGTGTCTCTAAGATTCCTCTTGGCCCCAACAGGCAGCTAGCTTCAGGGCTAACACACAGGCCTTCTCCATGGTCCTTTCCTGCCTCCAAAGACACAGTAGCCATAGTACTAATATCTGGGCATGGGTCTCATATGTCCCATCATGTCACCAAAACGTCAATTCTATCAGCTTTTGCAGCTTTAAAATCACAGTGACAAGGCTGAGCCTCCGAACAATAGAAATACTGATGGGCTTCCATGAAGAGATTAAGTCATAAAAGCACAAGCAAATCAAAGCGGCACAGGCCACTGTCTAAAAGCACTGGGAGATC